ACAACGCGAAAAATGAGTGTCTTTGAATGGCCAATGATAGAGTGTGGTAAGAGAGTTATCCATCCAATTCATTATAATAAAAGCGGCCTGCCAAATATAAGAGAAATGAAAATCACACCACCCTGGGACGTTGTCGCACATGAAAAAATATCGGCGCGTTATGAGAGAAGGCACAATGGACGAATCCTTTATTTCCTTACTGATAGATGCGTTCTTAGAAAACTGGATAAAAGAGGTCAGCTGCAAATGTACACTATATTTCCTCCTTTTGAAGAGAACAGTGAACATTCTCAGTTTACCGATGAAGACGAATTTGCTCGTACGAGAATCTATGATGTAACCGTCGATGAAGATGGCACAGTGTACGCTCTTTCTCGTAATGACAGGTTAGAAAACAAATTGTCGGTGTACAGCGCGGATGGAAGCACACAACATCATCCATTGAAATTCCTTGAAGCGGAAAACATTTATAAATCTCCATACGCAATTGCGCTGACCAACGACAAGAAAATTGTCATTACTGTCAAACAACCTAAGTCAAATATCAAGATATTTTTATGTAAAAGCAATGGGGAACTGCTAAACAGCTTTGATACGGGTCCGAAGTTTCGCAGTGAGGATCATTATGTGGAGGATGTGTCTGTAACCAGCGATGATGAAATAGTTCTCTTGACAAAAAACCAAAAAAAGAATTTTAACATGATTGGCGTCTTTAAGGAAGATGGAAAGTTACAAAGAGCTATTCAATTTCGTAGAAGTGATGGTAAGGATGCATATTACAGCCTATTTTATAACCAAGCCACTAAAACCATTGTTGCCTGCGATTGGGACTACCTTGATGATGGCTGGGCGATGCTGATAGATTATTTGTCTGATGAAAGTGCTGAACGCCAGCGTACCTACGTCCTGACAAACACCAACCTTCCAAATTATAAAATATCCTTCAAGCTAACCGGCCACACAAACGGTGCACTTGCTTTGGTAAGCGACACACATTTTATTTCTTTGCAAAAATCTTGTCCGTGAACTTAAACGAAAACCATTCAAATTTCATTCTGGACACCTTATATACCTTTAATTTCAATGAACGTTTTGAAAAAGACCTTTCTGTATGAAATATAGTTAAAAATACGAAATGTAAATCATGATATTTGAATATTACTATAAATAAAGTTGTCTTTTTTCTGACTGTTCTGAACAGTGAACTCAAATAACACTGGAACGCTCACTCTCTGACTTTCCCTGATTAACGAGTCAAGCCAAGATGGCGGATCATGGAGCCTTTCTTGTAGGTATGATCCAGGCCTCTGGCGCGGAAATTTCAAAGGTAAAATCATAATTGCCGCCATTTTACCTAAGAATTTTCCACGTGGAGGCCTGGATCATACCTACAAGAAAGGCTTCAGTGTCCGCCATCTTGGCTTCAAATTTTCGACAGAGTGAGCGTTCCAGTCTTATTTGAGTTCACTGGTTTTGAATCGTTTCTAGTCTCCCGCGCACCCGAGGTAGGTCATATTGCGAGTGACTACATGATTTCCAATAGTTCAAGTCTGTTTAAAAACTGATTTTTATATGTTGCGTATTTCGCCAGGAAATCATTCAAAACAACATATCTTTTTGACGCACTACTTTAAGTCCATTTAATCCAGCTTTCTTTAAGACGAAACACTGCAATAAAATCATACGGTTTTATAATCTCTCTCGCATGATTAGAATGTATTTCAACTTCCAAAGGCAACAAGATTCATGTTTTAAGCCTGGTTTATACACTCAATTGATTGGCCCAGTACAGCTAAAATTTGTACCCGTACCTAATTCTAACCTAGCCCAGGCCACCAATACTAAGACCGAGCATGCACGGATGAAATTTGTACGCGTATCCATTTTAGCCTTACCCTGGCAATAAATTGAGCGAGGTATAAACAGGGTTTTAGATTAATCAATGATTCACTTTAGGCAACTTATATCGAATACAGTGGCTATGCGGCGATTTTGCATAAGAATAGGTCAATAGGTATCAGATGTGACTGTTGTATCAATTGAGGATGTTGAATCGCACCAGCGAATTGATACAATACGGATCAATTAAAGTTACAAAGACTAGCCCTCTTTCGCAACCACCCTGCATGTATTTTGATGTATTTGGATAAAATTAGATGCACCTTCTTTGAAGCGGAACAGGACCACTTCGAAGTAGCAGAACGACCTCAATTAGTTAACTTCAAAAAATATAAACTTATAAAGATCTATGGAATGTATTACATTTCAGAAAATTGAGAGGAACTTGAATTACTTCACTGTGATCACAGATACTTTCAATATTTGATACAATCTTTGTTATCACACAATGGCTCTGTGTGAAATATGATCTTGCATTCTTATGCGACAAATATAAACACTGACGCAACATTTAAGCCAAACAATTGAGAAAAGATGTCTGAAGTAATAACAGGTTTGTTGAAGGCTACCTTTGGTTTGATATCGAACAAGATTCGTGATTACGGCGCAGAGAAACTCCAAGATGGAGGACTCGTTGATCAAAAGTTTCGAGGTTTGATTGTTCGTGAGTTAGACGACATTTCGTCGAAACTCGATGCTATTTCAAGGAAAGAACTCCTCACGAGCATCAGCTGTTTACAGCAAGGAATCGACCGTCTGGGAATGGCTTTGGGAGAGACTTTTAAGACCATGGACCAGCCGACGGCCGGATTACCCATCGCTGGGGCAAGCTCAAACGAGACGAAACCAGCTCAGTCGGTTACGGTTGAAGAAGCAGTCTCTTTAGCCAACGCCATTCAGAAACTCGAAATCATATCAAATAAACGTTTTGAGTCGGCAAATGAGTCTTTTAACGAAGCGGGAAAGCAAGCCAGACTAGCGTTTAATATCACGACGCTGAACATTGAGGAACGAATCCTTGCGACTAAAGTTCGCATCACAAGTGGAATACTCCAGAATTTGAACGACCCAGAACTCGCCGCAAGCGACTGTTTACAATGTCTGAGAGAATTGAATAGTCTGCCTGCCGTACAAGACATATTCTCCGTGCACAATCAGGGTGGAATAAAATCTATTTTCCAAAAAAAGTCGCGATCGGAAATCGTGGAAACCGTAACGATGATGAACTTGATTTTGGCTGATTTCATCACGAGGTTCACAACGCGAAGAATGAGTGTCTTTGAATGGCCAATGATAGAGTGTGGTAAGAGAGTTATCCATCCAATTCATGATGATAAAAGCAGCCTGCCAAATATAAAAGGAATAAAAATCACACCACCCTGGGACGTTGTCCCACAAGAAGAAGTATCGGCGCGTTATAAAAGAACGAAAAATGGCAAAATCGTTCATTTCCTTAATAATAGACGCGTTCTTAAAAAACTGGATAAAACAGGTGAGCTGCAAATGTACACTATATTTCCTCCCTTTGAAGAGAACAGTGAACATTGTCAGTTTACCGATGAAGGCATATTTGTTTGTACGAGAATCCATGATGCAACCGTCGATGAAGATGGCACAGTGTACGTTCTTTATAGTAATGACACGTTAGAAAACAAATTGTCGGTGTACAGCGCGGATGGAGGCACACAACATCATCCACTGGAATTCCTTGAAGCCATTAATAAATCTTGGTGCAAAATTACGCTGACCAACGACAAGAAAATTATAATTACTGTCAAACAATCTAATTCAAATATCAAGATATATTTATGTAAAAGCAATGGGGAACTGCTAAACAGCTTTGATACGGGTCCGAAGTTTGACAGCGAGTATCATCTTGTGGAGGATGTGTCTGTAACCAGCGATGATAAAATAGTTCTCTTGACAGAAAACCTTGGAACGAATTTCAACATGATTGGCGTCTTTAAGGAAAATGGAAAGTTACAAAGAGTAGTTAAATTTCGTACAAGTGATGGTAAGGCATATCGCAGCCTATTTTATAACCAAGCCATGAAAACCATTGTTGCCCACCATCTGCGCAGCCTCGATGATGACTATAAGATGGTGATAGATTATTTGTCTGATCAAACTGGTGAACGCCAGCGTACCTACGTCCTGAATGACATCAAGCTTCTAGAACATTTATTAACTTTAAAGCTAACCGGCCACAGAAACGGTGCACTTGCTTTGGTAAGCGACACACATTTCATTCCTTTGCAAAAATCTTGTCCGTGAACTTAAACGAAAACCATTCAAATTTCATTCTGGACACCTTATATACCTTTAATTTCAATGAACATTTTGATAAAGACCTTTCTGTATGAAATATAGTAAAAAATACGAAATGTAAATCATGATATTTGAATATTACTATAAATAAAGTTGTCCTTTCTCTGACTGTTCTGAATCGTTTCTAGTCTCTTTATGCTTTACGTTTACTAGTGAACTAAATCTTGTTCAAACGTATTTATGACTGGTTCTTTCAACATTGAGTCAATGTTGACATAGTATGGTACTCTATATATACAGATAAATTTAAATGAATTATCATAACCAACTAATTATAATCCATTAAACCTGCTTGCATCGCTTGTTCAAGTAAAACATGAAGTTATTGAGATTTCTCCTTTGGAGGTGCTGTATAAGACAGGGGGGGCAATTTTTTATTTTCTCAAAATAATCAGCACTTGCATTGGGCACTACCATTGCTCCTCCCCCAAAAAAATTTTCTAGTCCCGAATGCCCATGGTGCAGGTGATTTTATTGACCACAATATTCAGCCCCATGCAGTTGTGGCAATTTGATTTCTTAATCAATTATTGAATCTATGCGACTAAGTGTGCATGTGGGTAAATTCCATGGGAAACTAATTTCCCCCTAGTTTCCCCCCAATTCCCCCCCCCAGTTTTCCCCAATTTTCCCCCAGGTCTTCTGGCTTGTTGAAGGAGGTGGGTAAAGGGTAAGGTGTGGGAAAACCCTAACTTGAGTTTTTGAATTTCTTTAAATTAGACTCTGAATGCTATTCATTTTTAAAACTGGTTCAAAGCATGCAGTCACATTACCTTTCCTGCTAATCTGCTTGAAATTATTCCATTGCTTGCAACAAGTGCATCAGCCAAAGTGGTTTTACCTATTTTGAAAAAATCAATATATATACATATATATACTTTAGTATACCAATATAACCAGGGAGCAGCATGGCAGCATCTTCAAACAACTTAGCATCAAATGTGGTATAACAAAACACTTCTCAACGTCTCAACCTGAGGGCCTACAAACTCTCCTGACGAAAGTCCTCAGGTCGAAACATCGAGATGTGTTTTGAAACTAGTAGCTAGAATCTGACTGTTCTGTATGTTGGGCAGTTCTTGCTGTCATAGCATTTGAATAGGTTCAGGGTTAGAAAAAAATATTACCAGAAAAACTATTTTGTTAGATCTGGGATTATGGGAAGACATTTATGGGCAGATTTTCCCTAAAATACAGAAATGCATTTCACTGTGTGACCTACATTGCGGAAAACTAGGTGACGTCTGTATATAACACTACATAACACTGTATAACACTGTGTAACACTAGGCAACACCGTGTAAAACTGTGTAACACCATGTAACACCATAAGCAGCCCGGTAAACAATGTTGGTTTGTAAGGTTACATCATTTGTATCAGGTTATTATAATGCAATGATACAATGACGTAACCTTACGAACCAACATTGTTTGCTTGACTGCCTATGGTAACACTGTGTAAAACTATGTACCACCATGCACCATGTAACACTGTGTAAAATTGTGTACACCATGTAACACACTGTAACACCATGTAGCACTATGTAACACTGTGTAAAATTGTGTACACCATGTAACACACTGTAACACCATGTAGCACTATGCAACACTATGTAAAAATGTGTAGCACTGTGTAACACCATGTAACACAGTGTAAAACTGTGTAACACCATGTAATACTGGGTAAAATTGTGTAACACCATGTGATATTGAAAAACAGTACACCATGATGTACCAATGTGTTACATTATGTAATACAATATAATACCATACAACACTATGTCAGGGTGGACGTATAATGCGTATTAAACCTCATGAATCGCAGTATAAACTTGGCTTAATGGTTTTTAAAACATACCGTGGTCCACGTGTGCCAAAATGCAGATATTTCTGATAGATTCTGGTTGGCCTTGGAGCTCTAAAAGTTGATCTAATGCAACATTCTTCATTTTAATTTCGTAATAAAAGGTAGATCCAACCAACAATATTCTTAATTACTAAACAAATTTATGTACAAAACTAAGAGCAAATAAATACATTTCTAAACAACTTTTTGAAATTTTATTTAAATTTATAAAAATTGTGACAAAATCATAAACAATGCTTCAAAAGTTGAACGAAGCTGTTTCAATCAGTCTCGGAAACATCCGGAAAGCTGACATAAACCACAGCACCACAGCATAAACTAAGATACGTAAAAAGTAGCGACGTTTGATGTATGTGATTTTATCAAACATCGTCTCTTCAAATTTCCAACATGGTGAGTTCTGATTTAATATATGTTTGAAAATTTCTCTATTTAGCTTGTGGTCAAAGCTCGTATATTGCTGAATACGATTCATTTTGTTTTAAATGTGCTTTTTTTTCTAGTCTCGTCGCTACGATACTAGAACTACGATATTTTCCCCAGAAGGTTAGTGGTCACTAGTCACTAACTCACCAAGTTGTACAATGACTTGCAAAATAATAGTTTACGCGTGTTTAAACACAGTTAACAAACGCTTGTTCAAATACTTCGGGTTTTTTGACCTGACCAAAAATTCTTCGTCAAATTTTAGATCTGTTCTGAAATTGTCTATTACTCTATCCCCTGTGTTCTTGGTCCCTCGATCAGTCATTAGCTATAGTTTGTTGTTCTAGGACTATTCAAATTTAATACAAATCATGAAATACTATCCCTAACTAGAAGTTTGGGATCTGAGTAGTCTAGCTGGAACAAAATCTATCAACACAATGTAAAAATGAAGCCAGTAACATGGAAATTTGACCTCAGCCTATCTCTTATAAACAAACATATACGTGTTTTAAGTTTGAGACCTATACAGGGTTATATAGTGGTTCTGCACAGGGAGTATTCCTTTAAAATACAAGTGAAATATGTCTGACATATGAAAGTAAAATACTAAAGAGGAGGAGAGTATGGGAGAGTTGCTACTAAATGGGGTTAACTGGGGACACACAATGAATTCAGTCAACACGCTTTGGAGTCTGAGTGCACAATGGGATTCCTCTTTTGTTCATAATCTGCCTGTTTGAAATATTTCATTCTACATAATACACTTTAAATTGATTGCCAGGGAGGTTGTATCAGGTTGAATATGCCATGGAAGCAATTGGTCTGGCTGGAATTTGTCTCGGGATCCTGGCTGATGATGGTGTAGTCATTGCTGCAGAGAGGAGAAACACCAATAAACTCTTGGACGAGATGGTTTTCTCTGAGAAGATTTACAAACTCCATGAGTAAGTCTTAGTTAAACTTCAGTAGCATTAGTTCATTAATTTTACCATCTGTAACAGTGGAAGAGTAGTACGCAGTGTGTTCCAATCTGTTAGTCAAGCAATTAATGGTAGCACCAACCGTTTTTTTATTCCAAGTGACATGGCATGCAGCGTTGCTGGAATTACCTCAGATGCTAATGTCCTTACTAATGAATTAAGAATAATTGCACAGAGGTAAGTCAGGTTTCTTTATGCCTAGGGTTGGTTGTGTAAAGGCCTATTTGGTTTCTGGGTGGGATTAGTGTAAATTAAGATTAAGATTAGTTTAAAGATTCATTTTGGCTTTGATATAGATTAGGGTTCTGGATAGGATTAGTTTAAAGATTAAGATTAGTGTAAAGATTGATTTTGGACATTTCGTATGGATTTAGATTTGGGTTCTGGATAGGATTAGTGTAGAGATTAAGATTAGTATAAAGATTCATTTTGGTTTGGATTTGGGTTCTGGATAAGATTAGTGTAAAGATTAAGATTAGTGTAAAGATTAAGATTAGTGTAAAGATTGATTTTGGAGTGATACTTTGTGATGACTTCAAGCTTTCATCAAGTCATTAATTTATGATGATTTTTTTAGATATTTATTGCAATATCAGGAGCCAATTCCTTGTGAACAGCTAGTCAGTTCATTGTGTGATATAAAACAAGAATATACACAGTTTGGAGGTAAGTTTGATGTGATGGTTTGACGATCTGACCACACGTCTTGCTGGTAATCCAGCTGAAACATTGTTAAAATTTTATTTTAGGAAAACGACCTTTTGGTGTATCTCTCCTCTACATGGGCTGGGACAAGCATTATGGCTTCCAGCTGTACCAGAGTGACCCTAGTGGAAATTTTAGTGGCTGGAAGGCAACCTGTATTGGAAATAATAGTGTAGTATGTCGAAAAATTTTTTTTTTGAGGTCCAGTAAGGATCATGTCTAATTGAACCAGTCTTACTACAGGAGGAAACCTAAATTAACTTCATTTATTTATACTGGATAGCTCTATCAGTTCTAAACTGTTCTTCCTAGAGGTCCAGTAAGGATCATCTCTTATTGATCCAGTGTTACTACAGGAGGAAACCTAAACTAAACTGACTTTATTTATACTGGATAGCTCTATCAGTTCTAAACTGTTCTTCCTAGAGATCCAGTAAGGATCATCCCTTTTGATCCAGTGTTGCTACAGGAGGAAACCTAAACTAAACTAACTTTATTTAAGCAGAATACCTTTATTAGTTCTAGACAGTCAGGCTGTTAAATCATTCATTTTTTTAGGCTGCAGTTTCAATGTTAAAACAAGAATATAATGAAGACAAAATGCCGTTATCTGAGGCACTAAAGCTGGCTATTAAAGTTCTAAACAAAACCTTGGATGTCACAAAGTTAACCAAGGAAAAAGGTACATTCAAAAATGAATTTTTAGTCTTATTTGCATCTCATGCATCTCTTGTTTGACAATGTGAATATTTTTATTTCAGTCGAAATAGCCACACTTACAAGAAAGGATAACAAGACAGTGATTCGTATTTTACCAGACAGCGAAGTCGAGGATGTTATCAATATTTGTGAACAGGAGGCGAAAGCTAAAGAAACAGCAGCTGGAACCAGCAGTAAAAAATAGTTCTGTAAAACTTCACCAACAACCTTTTTAAGCAATATTCTTTCTTGTCTGTAAAGTATAATAGATTTGTTTGCATTGAATTCAAATAAAGTATTGAAAAAAACATCTAATAGTGTAACCATATTACATATATATTTTGATCTTTAAAAGCTTGTTTACACTTTGTTGGGATTCTGTGTGTGATTTTCTTCTTTTGATAGATGTGAACGAGTGATTAGTTACGAATGCTCTCATGTACAAGAACTCTTATTTGAACATTCGTAACTAATTCACTCGTTCACATCTATCAAAAGAAGGGAATAATAGATTATAGGGAAGAGCTGTCCACATCCTAATCTCTGAGGAGATCAAAAAACAGAACATTTTTGACATTTTTTGAGCCGATTTTTGTTTGGAAAATCAAGATCCAGCATTGACATGTCTTCTGGATTGTCTATCCTGTCAGCGAGTGGCATAGACCTTGATGATCCCTTTTCAGTTTTTTACGTTATTTCGAAAGTTTTATACGTTCTTTTCAAATTTTCTTTTTATATACAAAAAACACTGTTATTAAAAAAAACATATATGGAGCAGATACGGTGCGAAAAAAAATGAGCACCGAACATGCTGTAAACTTCACATAGGACAGTAGGACTAGTCTATTAGACCATTTAACCAGCGTGGTTATCCATGTCAAAATATTTGACATCATAACCGAAGCATGGTTATATATTTTTTAATGTTTGTATATGAGCGCTAAACATGCTGTAAACTTCACATAGGACCAAAATTAGTCTATTATACCATTTAACCGGCGTGGTTATCAATGTCAAAATATTTGACATCATAACCAAAGCATGGTTATATTGTTTAATGTTTGTATATGAGCACTAAACATGCTTGCAACTTTACATAAGAGCAGAATTAGTCTATTATACCATTTAACCAGCGTGGTTATCCATGTCAAAATATTTGACATCATAACCATGACGGTATACTCGATCAACCATGGTCGAATATGGCCGGAAAACGGTATACTCGACCCTGATCCCTTTGTCACCATCTTTCATCGAAACCCTGACCCTGCCACTCCAGGTTTATTCGAGTTCATCGAGGTAAACGAGGCAGGTTCACACATATGGGTTCGGTTCACGGTAGCGGTCTCGACGACACATTTTGAACGATGGAAAATGGTTCCCACGCTATCACAACACTGAGCTTAGTCACTGAGCTATATAATAATTCCTGAGTTTTTTTTTTCAATTTCATATACCAAATACCATATTATATAACATATACTTATCATAATTCATAATGCGTGCACAATATAAGAGAAATGTCTTAATAAGTAAACAAACTAGCCTATATATTAAATATAAACATATAATATATCATTTTTTAAAATATATATAATCCTGAATCGAGGAATTATTATATAGCTCAGTGATGGTGATTAAAGACTAAGGGGATGTGATTATGTAAGAATTATGTAAACAAAGCCAAAGGGGTCATGTTTCGATCATATGATGATCACGGAGAATCCATACTGTTTTAAACATTTCTGAACAATCGCTTCCGTTTTATATTGAACCAATTGAGCCAAAAAACGTAAATGAGACGACACGTCTAGTTGATGCAGATGTTGGTAGACTACATGGACGAACAAAGCGTTTTAACTCCGAGCGAAAACGATCGCGAAGAGAGCAATCTAGTCGTATTGACATGGCGAACTCGCTTGTGTTACGGTGTCGGGCATATTCTAAACGACCTCTGTGCGAACGTTTGGTTCTCCTATCTTCTTATTTATATGCAATACGTTGTACAATTAAGTCCTATTACGGCAGGATCTTTGTTACTCGTTGGACAAATTGCGGACGCTTTGTCCACTCCATTTGTAGGTATTGAATCAGACAGAACTGGTTATAATAAATACGGAAGAAGAAAACTTTGGCATTTGCTTGGGGTGACTTGTGTAGCCGTTAGTTTCCCTTTTATTTTCACAAAATGTATTGGCTGTGGAAAATCTTCGGAGTACGCTTTGGTTATATATTACGTACCATTTATCGTCATCTTCCAATTTGGCTGGGCATCCACACAGATTTCTCATCTCGCCTTAATACCTGAACTTAGTGAATGTAAAATTGAAAAGGTGACCTTGAATGCTATTAGGTAGGTACTTTTATTATTCCACTGCCTGTGAAATTTGTGAGATTGAGGATCATAGTACACATAAGTTTTTAAAATCAACATTGAAGGTTACATTTTAGAGAAGGTTACCTTTCAGGTAAGGCTACAAGTTAGGATCAAATTTACAAGCTGCTCAGTTGTGTTGTGTTCTCTACCTGATCTTTTAATTTTGCCATTCAAATTTCTATAATTATTATTTTTAGTTCAGAAATTGATTTAGAAATAAATTCAATGATATTGTCTCAGCTAAATATTCCCTGCTGTGTTGAGAGAATTTAAAATGTATTAGTCAATAGTCACAGCATAGACCTACAGTACATGGCCAAAAATTGATCAGGTTGTGTTGCCTGGTGATTTTTGGATGTGTATTGCTCAAAACTGTCAAACAAGTGCCTTAAGACCTTTAATATGATGTCAATGAGTCCAAAGTTCAATTGGGCAAGTGTTGCATCAGTTTTTTTAAAATAAACTATGAAAGAGTATTGTTTATTTCTAAGTTTTCTTGTGAGACTTAATCAAAGCAAACTTAATTAAGATATGCCCCCCTTTTTAGCAAAGATGTCTTTTCTTTAAGTCATTAAATGTGCCCTTCTTGGAGTAAGTACATGTGCTACTATATGAGAAAGTGCCCTGTTTTGGTTAGCCCCCTGCGCACCACTTTCTAAATCATTCTGCCGCCCTTGGATAGCATTTACCATTATGAATATCTTGTATTATTTTGCACAATGGATAATGTTGTTTCTTAGGTACGCAGGGACTGTATCTTCAGGGATAGTTGTGTATCTGGTCTTCTGGTATCTCATCAATACCATGAAATCCTGCGATGTCATTGGCCCAGATGACCATGATGAGTTTATGGTAAGAAAACTGGATGCTCTAAATGGACTTTTTTCACATTGGATTTCCTTTCACAAGAATATTTGTTTCGTCTTTTTTTTAGTATTTAGCACTGATAACGGTTGCTTTTGGACTTGTTTTTATGTTCATTTTTCACCTTGGTGTGAAAGAGAGGCCACGAAAATCTTCACATATTGGGGATTCCAAAAGCAAACGAAACGCATCCGATTGGAAACTATGGTTCCGAGAGATTGAATTTTACAAGGTATTCTTGATAATGACGATCTTCGCTTTCATATTGTTACCGAAACTAAATAAACATAAAAAAAATTGTTTCCCAGCCATGTTTCACGACGATGGACAAATCGAAAACGTCGTTTCCTAATCCTAGCTATGTTTTGAAGATTGACAAACCAGGAAACATTGTTTCCCAGAAGATAGACAAACGCACGTTGATACAGTTGTTTTGAACAATTCGTATTTTATCGTTTGTATTGCAGGTTGCTTTGATATATATGTGCACCAGATTGGTTGTAAATATCTCTCAAGTTTATACACCTCAGTTTACTAAAGTCTCACTGGAACATAAAAAGGTATAGAACTAGATTTTCGTATGCTAGCCAATATCCATTAGACGTAATTCCGGTCCACAAACTTGTGAATCTGAAAAATCTGTGAAAAACGTCGTCATTTGATGAAGTTATTTTAAGAAAAAATACGCGCAATTTGTTGGCCCAAATTTATTTTGAAAGAATTTTTTACTTCGGAATCTTTTTGATAGTTTATTATGTCTCAATTTGAAGCGTATTTTCGTTTCAGGAAATCGTTGCTATAATACCACTGATTGTTTTCGTGAGTGGTTTCTTAACGACTTTGGCTGCCAAACCATTAAATGTCCACTTGGGACAAAGGGTAGGTTTCATCAACTCTCGGTAAGAAAATATCCCGTGTTGACTTGTACCAAAAGAAAAGTAATAAATCTAGCCTTGTACCAACTCGTTTAAGTTTTAGCAGAAAAACATTCAGCAGTTCAGCTATTCGTTGCATACAGAGGTCAGCTGAGAAAACGCGAGCGCGCGGGTTTGCTTGGGAGAAAATACACCCCAAGCACCCCCGCGCGCTCACTTTTCTCAGCCGACCTCTATACAATAGCTGAATGCAATGTCACATGTTTTACAACTGACTTCAACTAATCATCCTTATTTTTTCAGGGGACCTACATTATTGGCCTGTTAATAGTTATCTCAAACTGGTGAGTTTGAAGCGTCATGTTATTCTTAACAACTCTACATTTGTGCTCATGGGATTTTCTCGCGTCATTTCAGCGTTTGGACCTATTTTATCGAGAAAAAGACGATCCAAGTGTACGGTTATGGTGTATTACTTGGTGTAGGCGGATCTTTAAGTCTCGTCACCTGTTTGGGAATGTTAGCACATCTGATTGGTGAGAATGTTGTAAGTAAAAATCTATAAATCTGTCTGTTCTAGATTCTTTTTCCTAGAGGTCCAGTAAGAATTATCTCTTATTGATCCAGTGTTACTACAGGAGGAAACCTAAACTAAATAACTTTATTCCTATTGGATAGCTCTATCAGTTCTAAACTGTTCTTCCTAGAGATCCAGTAAGGATCATGTCTTATTGATCCAGTGTTACTACAGGAGGAAACCTAAACTAAACTAATTTTTTTTATACTGGATAGCTCTATCAGTTCTAAACTGTTCTTCCTAGAGGTCCAGTAAGGATCATCTCTTATTGATCCAGTGTTACTACAGGAGGAAATCTAAATTCAATCTTGTTAAATAGGAAACGGGTGCGTTCGTTTATGGTGCGATGAGTTTTCTTGACAAAATAGCAAATGGAATTGCAGTACAGATCATTCAGGTCTTCCACGGGTAAGATTGAAGTTACATACTGTGCATTATTAAATGAAACTGAGTAAAGTCTCGGATCCAGGCTCTATTGATGCCATTCCCCTGCGCACCCTTTATTACGATACCCCTGATCTGATAATACTGATCGTTCAATATAATACTATATGTGCAAAATTTTCTGTCCACTGCATTGCGCGGTATATGGTAATATGAAGAACGATGTTCATGTTCCAGTGATGAATTTTTCTTTATAGATCCGTGGCATGCGAAGCCTGTCTCTATCGTCATATTATAATGTACGTTCCTGGTGGGGCAGCTGTGTTTGCCTTGCTCGTAGCTGTGATGTTAAACCGAGATTTTGATCGTTCGAGCGCTGAGACCCCAGAGCCAAAGAAACCACCTCAAAATATACAAAGTAAGTCTACGTCGATGGGCCGTGGAGCATGGGCAGAGACGCCTGTCTTGCGAAGTTGAGTAAGTCTTAGGGCTGCTTTCGAGTTACACGTTTTTTATACGCAGGTACACGCACGGAAAACTTTAAATGCTCCTAAATTTTTATTATTTAGCATCCTGGTCTACAAGTGCATACTAAAATATGCAGAAAACTAAGTTCCTTCGATTTATTCACTTAGTTTTTTCAAAGGTAACATGTATAAGGATTTAGAGTTTTACGTGCGTGTACGTGCGTATGAAAAACGCTTGACTGGAAAGCAGCCTTTAAGGAGAAGTAGACAGGATTTATAACAGCATTTGAAATAAACGATACATATTTCTACTTTATATATTTCATAATGTGAATAACTAATTCATTCACACTGAAGATGGATTATAGTTAATAGGCAGTTGCGATATAGAAAAAAATCGATATATCGATATCGGAATAGAAATATCGATAATATCGACTATATCGAATTATGCAAATGAGAAAACGTAGTTTAGTCTACTTGCATGTATACGCATCACAAACAGTTAAGAAAAGGTGCATGAAGCCAGTCATGGTACGTCTCGAAGATTTATTTATTATTTTATTAACAACGGTTTATGCATTTATGAAAGATATATATTTTTTATAAGCCTAATGGTTTCACACTACAGTTAAATATATTTATGTTTATAAATTTTCTGCGAGAAACACTAACATGTTTGCCTGGCTTGGCTTGAGGTTTACTCGCTTCGCCGTAAATATATCTGTCCCGCTTTACTAAAAAGTCTTTCAGTTGGAGCACTGCTCGCGGGAATCGCCAGATATCGTCGGACATACTGCGACATTATTACTTCCCTTTGCAACAGAATAACGAGTTTGAATGAGCCGTGTTATTTTGATACCTTGTTTTTAAACCCGCGTCGATACGCGTCATTAACATTATTATTCAAATTATCGCGAATTTCATCTCTATGAGTCAACACAAAACTATTGTTTTCAAGCGTTCAATGCCGCTGCTTGATGATCTTCAGTGATCACAGTTTCTTTCAAAACAATAATGGCCGAATAATCGGAGATTAAGTTGTTTAGTTACAACTTTCGATATTTTCGATATACGAAAAATGGAATATCGAATATCGATATTTTTGATATATCGATATTTATCGAAAATATCGATATATCGCAACTGCCTAATAGTTAAGTCGAAACATGTTTGCAATTAAAAATGTTGTCGTTTATTTCAAATGCTTAATTACTCTTGTGCTATTCAGATCATTTATAAATAACTACGATAGTCTTGAATGGCTGGAAATGAGTGTTTTTATCACGATTTGTCCGTTTGTCTGATGAGAATTGATCGAGGGTTGATACAATCCAGAGATACTGGAGAGCTTATGAGATTTGGCGATTGTAATAGAAATTTAGTTATTGTATGAAAGAGGTAATCTATGGGACAAACAAGGATAAACAAGGCCAACAGTTGATTGGACAGCTAAGCCTATATAGGACAATAAGGGATAACAATTGATAAGACTTGATTGAAAATTACCACGCATATAGGACAAACAAGAATATCACTATTGATTGAAGTGAAGTTAAAATGAACGAATTTGTTGGAGTCCTATCAATCCTCTTGCCCTGGTCAAACGAGAACCAGAGTTGTACCAAAATTGCCATGGATATTACCATGTATAGCAATCAAACCTTAGAAAATTCTTATCAACTCTTAATTAATAATAACACTTAAAAGGCAGTCGGTGATCTAATCTTCCATTAATCATGAATGTTTATGTCTCTTCCAGACTGTATAGCCGACCGAGAAGCACTGTTGGCAGACGGTTCTGGATCAATACAAGACACAGGGTACGGTAGCACTTGTTGCGAGGATCACAAAGGGTTGAATAGAGCGTGGAAAGCGATGGAGACATAGTTCCCGCCATTTTTGGATGCGAAGTCATTGCTATAGTTGATTGTCCTTCAGGATTTCGCCACAGTTATTATGCAAACGAAATCGTCCCATCATGCACACACTGATTCAGATTTTACAACATTGAGCACTACGTAGAAGGTTCCGGTTACTTCACAATAGAAATTGAAAATAAAACGACAAAAGTCTAAAGATTTAAGCCTGGGTTTTCATAGGTCGTAATTCATCGGCGATGTTCAACGATCCACTGTCGGTGATCAACGAAGTGGATAATATCTTCCGACAAGACAGACAAAGCATTTTATGCCAATGATTTTTTTCGCTACTGTCGCCGATGAATAACGATATATGAAAGCCAAGCTTCATAAAACGTAAAATGCCTAGAAGCTATAAGACGATTTGAAATCCAAGAAATGGTTTCAATGCTAGTAAATATAGTCATGTGCTCTTGCATATGCAATTATATTTAGTGTGCACACGAGTATCTTTCAACTCCGAATTTAATTGATTTAAAATTTAATACTCTTGCTTCACAAAATTGAAATGTTATATTTCAGAAGTTCTTCTAAAAAAAACGAAAATCCACGTGTAAACAAGCAGATAATTCTAGTGAATAGTTAAACTTGTCCATTATATGCTAAAGCATATAGCGTCGTGGTACAATGGTATAACTAGGCCTATGAATTATCCTACGAGTTGAATTGTTAAATGACTAACAGGCAAATTTGCCTAATTTTGAAACTTGATAGAATTGAAGAGCACCATTTGTCTGTTTCCCGTGAGGGAAACAAAATGTATTATAATGATCACAGTAATATATACCAACACGATTTTAGGTTGAAATGTCAAAAACAAATTCATTAAATTGTACATAATTGATACTTCTTTTTTGCAAAAATAAAAATCTCCGGTTATATTTCTAATTGTTCTGGATGTTGAGGTGGGAACTGGATGGGAGAGGGGGCAAAGGACTCATTAAAAAGAAAAAATTGGGAGGGGGTAAAGACTGTCTGGATTCTGGAATGTATAGATGAAAAAAATATGGTGTAAAGAGACTGGAACGAGCGTCAATATGGCGGATGGTGTGGGAAATTTGAACGAGAAACTAGATGTTGCTTTGCTGGAATTTTTTGAAAAACTTGAAAACTTAGAGGTTGTACGCAACGATTTAACAAGTACGATGCGAAATGGCTTTCTGTTGATGTCCAAGGCTCGATATTCTATGGGAAATAAGTCTGTGGGTGAGCTGCAGTATGCACGAAATATGAAGGCCTCTACCCTGGTGATTGAACGAGATTTCCAGTCGAGAAATGAGGACGAAGACGATGTAGAAACGGATTTAAAAGGGTTTGAGGTTGTGTTCGACCTGGATAAAGCAAAAAATGAGAATGAGAGAGGGGGAGATGTTGTGGAAAATGAGAAACCTGGCTTGCGGCAAAGGGTGACTGGTAAAGACCAGAGGGAAGATTTGATGGAAGATGATGAGGACAGAGCAAGGAAGGGTGGATTCATGGATGGAAAGAAGACCACCGACCCACTCAAATGGTTCGGGGTACTGGTGCCAACCTCGTTAAGGGAGTGCCAAAGGGATTTTAAGACAGCTTGTCGTTTGTCGGGTGAGGCTGCACAATTAGAGCAGGAACTGGACACAATTATCAATGATTATGCTAAGTTGAAAGAGGAAAAGAGAAGACTTCAGAATCTGAGTGTAAATACAGATGAATAAAATAACCTTTGCTGTATTCAATAAAGGTGAAAATACAGTCTTTGGAATGTCATGTACTTTTGATCTTGGGGTCTGCAATGCTTTTTTCTAGAAGAAAGCCCTCATCCTTGTACTTTTCATTCTAAAAATTAATCACATATGATGTTATTTAGCTATCCCGATTGCTCCTGTCAAAATACATTAATTTTGATTGGGTTACCATGACCATGAATGATAATATATGCATGACCCTGTGAATAATTAGTTCTATAATTGAAACATTTAGAGCAGATGCGGGATTTCCCCAGAATAAATTATCCATTTAAGAAGCGCCACGTCAAACATGGTCTGGTGGCAGACTTTTGGAATGACGTAATTTACCATTTATAGCTTTGCGAGCCGCATTCCTTGCAGCGGTTCACATGAAAAATGGTGAAATTTAATAAGTCACTTTGTAATATTGCGTAAAGGCATGACAGACCAGTTCTGGCTTCGAAGAAGAATCGAAAAAAAACTACGGAAAATATCGCTTTAAAAACACAATGGCTGAGGTAAGAAGAGCATAAACTACCCTATGTTTGTCGTACGAACAAATCCATCGCTTCGATTCGCGAGAAAAGTGATTTTTAATATTGTGCAAAGTCACTCCTCAAGACTCGAAAGTGGTCTAGTTGCCATAGAGGCTTTGCTACATTCGCCCAATATTTTTTACAAGCGTCGTTTTTGTTGAAATCGAGTGCTTGAATGATTCGAGTACATTGAAGTACTAATTCGAAATGTTAAAAAGCATCAATCTACGTTTACAATATTTTGAATTTGCTTGAAATTCAAATACGATTCATTGAAAGGGTCATTGTTTATTATTTTGTGAAATCCATAATAGTATTTTGTATAATATTTGTATATCATATTCGAGATTCCTTTTCCATATCAAACTTTGGCTGAACATGTTTTCTAAGTCGGTTTCTATATATTTCTAAATGGTTTTATCAAAACTTTCGTTAAAAATTCGTGTAACGTGTTGTATTTTATTCGAGAATGAAAATATTTCGCATACTTTTTGTTTAATTTTTTGTTTATATGGAAAAATTAGAAAATTCCAATATCAGCCTTTTGTATCATAGTTACACATGTGAAATGTGTCAAGGATAACTTGGAGACAAATAATTAGTTTGTTTTGAACAGAATTACAGTGTAGTCTAGTCTCCACAGATCAGGAAGCTCCCAATGCTTGTCAAATTGAAAATATTGGCCCATATCTGATCCAAAGCAAAACTGATGCAACCATATGTATTCTGTATTACCCTGTCTAACACTAGCAATGATTGAAGCCAAAGTGTACGCAATTAAATATGTATCCAGGCACCAAAAATGTTATTGTTAACTAAAATTTCTTATTTATACACAATTGTGGTGCGAACATTGTGGTGAAACTTTGCTTAAAGCATAATTGTGCACCTCCCCAACATATTGAACAATCCCCAACATATCATGTTGAATAATGAATTAGATAACTTTGTGACATTAGATCACTTGTGACTTGGTACGTTTTACTTACAATCAGCTGCAATTCAACAGGACTCGTGTAATCTATTATAGACATCAAAAGTAAATCATGACCACACATATGACATCCTGACATCCCTTATGAACATCAGTCCGTCATCTCCTGAGGAAAAAGACTTGATATTAGGCATCACCTCACCCAGTGCAAGTGATACATCATCTGACTCTGGATTGGCATTAAGTCCAGTGGAGTTTGATGCCTTTGATATTGATTTTACAGAAGAACCTTTATTAGAAAACATTGATTTTGGTGAGCTTTTGACTGCAGTGTAAAACCAATTTGAAAATAGTACTTTTTCCGTCATCCAAGCTTGTCCCACCTCGTTTTCCGGTCAGCAAAATTATCCTCCAGAATGTATTGAAAAGAAAAGTTTCTTTTATCTTATGTTCTTGACCAAAACTATTGCTTTAAACACAAAAGAAATTATACTGTTCGATCTGGTCTGCAGGATAATTTTCCTGACTGGAAACCAGCCTTGAAGTAGTTAAGGCAATGCCTTAGCATTTTCAAACCAACTGGTAATCTACCTACCATTTTTTTTGTTCAATTTTTACCTATTGCCTCTGGTAGTATATTGAATTCATTGTATTGATTGTAATAATATTTAGATAACATGTCTCCAGAATGCTTGCCAAAATCAACTACACAATTATTTGACAATTTTGGAGATATATCTGGTAAGCAATGAAGACACTTGACAAAGAAGATGGCTTTGATATTATTAGCACAATAGATAGAGTATTTTATAGTGTCATAGATTTAGTTCGAACTTTATTTGAAAGGTGCATTTCTCATGGCTTAATGCAGAAACTGGTGGATCAAATTTTATTCTGATATATGTAAAAGAAGTGGACATTAGTATGAGCAAGGCTTTTTTGCATTAAACTACTTGCAAATGTCTTTACAGATATTGATTTTTCATTCCTAAATGGACTGGATGCAGAAAATCTTGACCAACTGCCAGAACTAGAAGACGTTAGCATGCCGGCCGCAGATGACAATATCCCTGATCTTGAAAGCTTTGTCGATCTTATGGATAATATAAAGGAAGCAGAAGAGCCTGCAAAGACTCCTGTAACAGCCATTGTAAAACCCCTGCAAAGCTCTCTGCCAGCTGTGGATGTGGTCAAAACGTCCGCAAAGATTACACCAATAATCATCACAGAAATAAAACCAGCTCTGAATACGATGCCGAAACCAAGAGTGAAGGTAAGTTTTTTATAACATTGTTGCTTCCGAATTATGGAATTCGATTCTCTGAAACCCCTCTGCGCTAATAACTTCGTAATTTTGGTTATACTATGACCGTATTAACATGTAGTTCTTACAAATAACATGAAAAATCATTAGTAATTAGACATATGGTTCTCAGGAGCATTGCTAGCTAAAGTGTTGAACTGTTGAAACCCACTAACCTTCTTAAGTAATTACCCATTCTTCTGCCAAAGCCTCTCTGTCACCAGGTTAAGCCACTGGTTTAAGTTCATTTTAACCAGAAAGTAAATGAGCTCTAGAAAGTAGATGATGAAAGAGATGTTCATGCCCTAGAACATTAAGTTCAATTGCAAGCAATGAAAATTTCATTTTAATGCTTGCAATATGCTGACATTTCTGAAATGCTGGTTAAAATTTAACATCATGTGATATTTTTTGGTTTTTTGCAGCAAGACCAGTTGATTATCAGTGAAGATGAGAGAAAAATGCTTGAGGAAGAAGGGCACTTTTTACCAACAAACGTTGCTCTCACAAAAGTAGGTGAACTTTCAACTTTAGGCCTAACATTCAAAGGATATCAATGCATGACAGTGCATTTATTTTTTCCCCAGGATGAAGAGAAGTTGTTGAAGAAAGTTCGGCGAAAAATCAAAAACAAGGTAATGAATGTACAGTACATGATGTGCTGAAAAAAAACCATAACCAGCCGACATTTCAAAAAAGTAAAGCAAGAAACAAATTCGGAATAAACAAGACATTTTGAGAATCAAAATATTGCTTGATTCATGTTTTGACTCTCAAGATGTCTTGTTTATTCGGAATTTGTTTTTTACTTTAGTATGTGATGAACTTTGCCAGCTGGCAATATTACTAGTCTCTAAAGGGTATTGCCAACTTTGACAACAGTCAGTTGCCAATGTTGTTTGAACAAATAGACTTAAGACTGTATTTAGACCCGTTTTAGACATCGAACTTTTCATGTGCCGAACGTAATGTTAATGAGCTGAACCTAATATGAAAAGTCCACGTCTGAAACGGGCTAAGTTTTTCAATTCTGCTTCACCCTTAATCCTCAAATCCTTTTCGTTGAAAGGTACGAGAATTTTGTCTACGCACATAGCTCGTCTGTTTGCACAACCTACGTCGAAAGTCCTGTCGAAACTTGGGCGCGAGCTTTCGTAAACAAGTCTGCCTTTCCCGCTTATCTTTATGCATTTCGTTGCTAGGTTTCAGCTCAGGAAAGTCGCCGAAAAAAGAAAGAATATATCGATGGACTTGAATTTAGGTATGCATATAGCGAGCTATTTTCTTAAGTTCAGGTAGATTGTAGCCTGCATACGTGCAGACGTATATAATGAGACCATATTCATATATTTTTGAAATGGTTGTACGTCTGCACGAGGCTAATACATTGAAGAGTCTTTCGGAAATGAAAAAGAAAGGTTTGCATTTTGTATGTTTCTTCATTCTCTTGTCAAATGTTAACAAGAGTTTCATGAAAGTCGCCTTGAATTTCGGCAATGTATTGCCACCTGTCAAAGGAAATCATTGATATCCAGGTTAAATGTAATTCGTTGTTTCTTTTGACAGAGTGAAAACGTGTACAAACCAGAACAGGGTCTTGCAAAAGAAGATCGACACCCTTGAAGAACAGAATAAGACTCTCGTGGAACAGCTGAAGAGTTTGCAAGAACTTGTTTCATCGTCAAACCAGAATAAAAAACAAACAAGCACTTGTATTTTGGTGCTGTTTCTCGCTTTTGCTTTGGTGGCATTTCCGTTTCAAACTTTCACCTCATCTCCTGCGAAAACCAACACCCTTGCGGACACGTATTCAACAATGTCTGGTGAGTTGACAAGATTTGTTTTGAGAATATAATGGACCAATGAACGATCGTTTCTAATGGATCACTGTCTATGTACAAGACAGTTCAAGACAGAAATATTTGGTTATCTTAGGTTTCTTCCAAAAATAACACTGCGTCAATCAAAGACAGTTTAGATAACAGTTTAGAACTGACAGAGCTATCCAGTAAAAATAAGGTTAGTTTAGGTTTCATCTTGTAGTAACACTGGATCAACAAGAGATGATCCTTATCATATACAAATAAAGTTAGTTTCGATTAGGTTTCCTCCTGTAACAACACCGAATCAATAAGAGATGATCCTTACTGGATCTCTTGGAAGAACAGTTTAGAACTGATAGAGCTATCCAGTATAAATAAAGTTAGTTTAGTTTAGGTTTCTTCCTGTAGTAAAACTGCAGATCAATAAGAGATGATCCTTACTGGACCTCTTGGAAGAATAGTTTAGAACTGATAGAGCTATCCAGTATAAACGTAAATGAGACTTGTTCAGTCAGGTAATAACATTTGACGAATAAGGGGTGGTCCTTACTGGATCGGAAGAACATGTTGGAACTGATTGTAGAAAAGAAAAGTGAAATTTTTTTTTTTTTGCATTTTAGTTCGTTCGAGAACTTTACTAGAATACAAAGAAGAGGCTGAACATCCTCCAAGTACTCTCAATATCTCTGATTACCTTCGAGCGTTTAGTATTGTCTTCTCTTTCACCAAAGATAAACCAGAAGTCGACAGCTACCCTCAACAACCTTCAATATCGTTCGATGAAAACCGGAGCATAAACGATGACTCCTTTGCTAGCCGCGAATATTCGTTTAGCAAATAAATTTTTATTGTATACTGTAATGTACTGTATATATAAAGACTAGAAATAGTAGGAGCTACTTTTGAAATATAATTTGATTCCGGTATAATCGGGTTATTAAAGAAATCTATCATAGATTGTTTGGCAATAATTGCATTCTGCGGGGTTAACTGGGTCATTCTTTTTAAAAACCCGACTTGTCAGTCGATTTTTTTTCCCGGCTAAAGTCCTGGGTATCGAACGAATTGAAACCGTTTTCCGCAGGAGGAAATATAAGGAAGAAATATAAACTAACGATACTTGTTTGAAAACCATTCATAGCAAACAATTTTACACCTTTGTATTTGCACGCTTTTTTGTGATGAAATGAACAGTTTTTACCTCAGGGGATTTGTAAATATTGTATTAAACAATAGAACTTTGTAATTTGGCTTAACTGGTTTCATTCATCAGGTATCTTTTGCCATAATAGATGTAACTGATAATCTCTACAATTTTCTACCATTTTCAACCTAAATATGGCCCTGCAGGCTGCAGTTTCAGTTTGGGATGCTATTTTTGGGGAGACCAATTGCGCTTGTGATTGGTTAATCTGATAGCGTTACTGCATTTGATTGGTTCATAGCAGTAGTGGGGTGAAGGACAAATATGAAACTCGCAATTTGAGCACCTAAAACAAAGGTATCAGAAGCCAGAATTTCCTGAATTTTGCATGGCCATATCTGCTTGTTTCTTCACCATTTCGCGACGTTTGAATTTCACCAATTTGGGCAAGCTTGAGCTTTTACTGGCAATAAATATATTGATATAATTCAAACTGTCCAAAAAATTGAAGACGCTTCAGCAGATTGGCTGTAAAATCGAAGTGGAAACACGAATGGCGGTGGGTTTAAAAAATTGCTGAAGTTAAAAATTTTGCTAAAATTCACAGAAAATTTCGTTTGAATTGCACAAATTTTGGTTGAAATGAATCAGGAATTTGTCCAAAAAGTGTGGTAAAGGACATTGAGAAGTCTTACGACAGAAAACAGCCCGAAATTAAGTTATCTTTGTCAGCAAATTGTCCAGACTCCAGCGAAAATCAAGCAGTATTTCCTGTCGCTCTTTCAAAGTTTCACATTCAAGAGGTTAAAAAATCACCGTAAGTAGCATTAACATAATACGCTAGGTATATCAAAGAGATTTTAAGTAATCAGCTTTCATGATTTTTTGCAAGTTTTGTATTACAGTTATTATTCAGTTGTGTGGTCACTGTAGAGAGTTAATTTCCCCCCGGAAAACCCTCAATTGAAGAAGCGAAAGCCGTATTCTCCAGGGGGTGTCGTGAAATCTAGAAATATATTCACACAGAAAAAAATTGATTGTTCAAGCGCAGTTATATTTTACATGGTCGAGTGTTAGTTTAACCTTGCACCTTCTACTTAATTAATAATAACATCATAAAACACGGGCCGATGATCTAAAAAATGCGTTTTTTTTACGCTTTTAATTAACCGAACAATGTCCTGAATCGTGTATCCATGTTTCTGTAAAATCTGCGCTTTGCTGCTGGCAATTTATACCAACAAATGTTGTCAGTTAAAAGGAATAAAGTATAAATAGGTAGATTTTCTATTTTTGATCTGTTGACAAGCTGTTTTAAGCAATCTGGAATGTTCGAGAGAAATCATGATGTATGTTGCAACTTACAGCTATCTTTGATGGCAAATTACAGCGATCTTCGTATCGAGGCAATGGTTTTGGCTTTATCATGGTGCATTTCGTCATCTTGTTGACAGCGCGAAACCTTTGCCAACTCATGTCTATATTAAGTTCCGCATAATTTTGCCTAAAAACACAAACAACGTGCGTTTATGGAGGAGAAAAAAACTACAAGCACTTCAAATTACTTTTCAACACTCCGCGCAAATTGATAAGCTAATCTCAAGAACTGGAAAACAATCTGCAGCGCTTTCACTGGCGTTGACGAACACGTTCTTTCTGTCAAAGTTTTGGCGTACGGTAATAATTGCCTCCTGTCTCTGATCAAGGGAAATATCAGGCTGATAACGCTAGCGCAGTTTCGCCACATTTGTCAAATTATGTCGGCAATATTTGCGCAAGTGTTCTGCATTAACCGCTTGGACCTTGCGTCGAACGTGTGGGTAGATAAATATCACATTACCATGTCAAAACGAATGCGTAGTTTAAATTAAATCATTGATAAAGTACTTTAAATGCAAAAACAGATTGAGGACCATCGAAGAGTTTTAGAAACATTTGGCATTTCACGAAGGCAAGGACACATTGGATGACATTGGAAGCGGAGTTTTTTTGTATCGTACTTTCTGTTTACGGTTTTTACACCAGTTTTCTGAAGTGGGTGACATCACGATAGCGAGTCGAACCTGAAGCAATATAAACAAAAGCTTAGGATTAAAGATTGAGCGGTTTATTGAACACATCAACGCGCAGAACATGAGCATTTGAAAGCAAAGGGGCTTTTTGGAATTCGTGCCGTGTTCTGTCGAATATGTTAATTGACAATTGTCGTATTAAGTCTGCCTAATCGCAACGGTTCGTGATAAGGGAGTTCCTGTCCTGCCAATATGCTACAAGGCATTTTACGCACCTACCCTGTTGGCGAGACGCACACGCAAAACGTGGTCGGCGAGAAAAAGTACAAGCAATCGCCAAGCCTGAAGTCCGTCGAAAAAACACCAAACGTGAACACAACGCTTCGCGTCAAAATGAAAGTAGTCAGGAAAACGAGGTCTCCGATAAGCAATGGTGGAGTTGAAGCTAATGAAAGCGCTCGGGATTCGCCCACGGGTGTAGCAGCACCATATGATCATGAAATCGACGACAAACAAAGCTCCCTCTTGAAAGTCCCCAGCGACGAGCGCTTACGAAGACGGCTCTCGGATTCCTTAGAACTGGAAAAGCAGCAGCCACCGACACCTCGGGTTCGTAGACGAAGCGTCTCGTTCGACCCGTTAACCGTATTCAAAACGGCCATCTTGGAAAACGATGTGGAAACGGTAAAGAGCGTGCTCGTCTCTGGCAAGGTGAACGCGAATTCGTGCGTGGACGGCGTGTTTGCCGTCATCTTAGCGGCCAAGGAGGGCTCCGCTGAATGCCTGGAGGCCCTGCTCGACAACGGAGCCGATATAGACATTTGTGATAAACGAGGCTTCACTCCGTTAGAACTTGCGGTTCAAGGAGGGTACTTCGACTGCGCGCAAGTGCTCATCGCGGCCGGAGCTAATGCGAACTCCATACGCGACGGGTATTTTGACGAGACCATTGAGAGTGGAAGACATTCGACGGGACGAAGCAGATCTCGAACGTTCTAGGTTCTTGAGAGAACGCACTGTACAAACTTGAACAATTCTACCAAAATAATTTCTACAAAGCAATTTTGATTCAGATCAAACATGGATGAGACATGAGAGCTTACGTGACTAACGTGAGTGTTTCACGAACTCTTACAACGAGAACAAGAGATGCCCGGTTGCACCACATGCGGTTTGTACTGAATGAAAGTTGGGTAACGCTTTCTACTGGATTGTGATTTTTGAGCTCGTCCTAAAACCTCTCCGTGCTTTGGTGCTACTCAGATTAATCCTCAGTATTCTGGGTGTCCTAAAAAAAACCCCGCTAGTCTTTGGAATCCCATTTAGTTATAACACAGTGAATCTGATTGTTTGCGTCGAGTTGACAACGATGCAATATGGCTTATTTTAAATGTCAAAGATTAGCCTTTTTTTCGGGACACCCTCCTATGGATCACTTTCATAATACATGCGGATTTACACACTCTTGCATTCATTCGTTAAGACTAGATGACCTCATCTTGGTTCTAAAATTCCATTCAATTTTAGTCACTAAAACGAGGCCAATCAAGGCCCGCCCCCGATTTTAAGATGGCATGGCAGAAAACATGTAATTCTGTCGTTGTTATGAAAGTGATCTGTTCTTGAGGTGGAGTTTTTCGAATTCTTAATCGATTGTGTGGGCCATAATTGGAGTTTCAAAATGCAGCCATCCAGTGGGTAGCGCCACCCAGCTTTCGTACAACGGGTCTCTGGTTACTGGCACGCGTGCTAATGTGTGTTGCCAAGCGTACCAAGAAAGCCCTAGGGGGTGGGGAGGGGGGTAAACAGGTTTTATGAACGAGCTTGTCTGGAATATCTCGCGACTCTCACAGGCTCTCATCCTTGCTTGTGTTTGGAGCACAGATGTGAGCGTTTTCATCGTGTATTTGATCATAATCCTAAGACCAGAGTTGCTGAAACTCTTAAACATTCCTTCTCTAGAAGGATTTCTAGCGATACACGACTAACGCGAGGTCTTTCCTCGAAATGATGTGATTATAATCACATTACATATGTAATCTCGATTTTTTTTTGTCTATAATTCGTTCAAAATGTTAGAGATTCATTCAAAGCTAGAAATCTATTTTTCCATTAGCTGAAATTAAATCCAATTAAATTGACAATCTGACTGAGATTGCTATGATTTGTCAACCCGAAATTATCACGTTTCCTACTATCTGTTTCCACTTTTGAATGGAGTCCTCCATTTAACATCAAGCCTTCCTGAGATATCGAAAGATTATCGATTTTACATCAAGCCTTCCTCGAATATTGCAAAATTAAGACCACCATACATATTTTAGTAGTACTCTATCTGAGAAAACACTTTGCCTACTGATGGAGACACTTTGCCTAATGATGAAGACACTTTGCCTAATGATGAACACGCTTTGCCTAAAGTATCTGAGAAGACACTTTGCCTGACTGTTAGTAACACATCTGTCAGTAAACATTAGGGACCGGTAAACCTGTTTAGTAAGTATCCCAAAATGGTACAATGATTTGCACCTTGGGGCAAAATGATTTCTTCCGCGATTAAAGTGGTATGCATAAAAAATCAAGGAACGATGAGTGTTTACAGTAGAACCTTCGAGAAATAAACAGCTTGAAAACTCTTCTTCAATGGTTGATTGGCAAAACATATCTTGCAAGCCGTTGTTTTTTGTACTTTAGCTTACGGTCAATCAAGAGCTCTTGGAAATTGAAGTGCTTGCACTAGTGAAATTTATTTATCGCCGTGGGAATGGTGCAGATTGTCTCACCACGTGACGTATCGCAGCGAATGCCAGTACGCCCCCTCAGCCCTTAGGTGACATTGGCAGATAGGCGTCTGTTAGGGTGATATTTGCTTTGATGACGCTCTTCAACAAAATACACTAATTTATACTAAATACAATAATTTGGTACAAAATACACATAGAAGAGAAAACATACTCCGAAAATAAACATCTTGTAAACCCAAGATATGAGTTGTTAACCAAAGATATGAGTTGTAAACCAAAGATATGAGTTGTTAAAAACTGTCTGCTGGAAAAGGTTTTTTTAAATACACATAGACCAAGAGTAATACAGTATAACTAGATTCGGGACTAATGTAACCATGACAACCTAGTGATTGCGTGTACGACTGGGTGGATTAATATTGCGGTGCTGAAAAATTAGCTTGACCACGCTAGGAAACGAAATGACCCTTGGTTTTCTAGTCCAATTCTCTTCCAGATGGTCCACCAGGTCACGATGGCAATCAAGTCCTTCTATACCGGTGTGTCTTAAAGTTTCGTAACTTTGAGACACTTGGGAATATAAACGGGATTCGACTGAGTTAGTTCATTTTGTTATTGGGAAATAGAACACACTGCAATGGCCTATCAGTTCACGTAAGTTCAAGCGATTTTGAAAGACGGCCAACTGATTGCGTTAAGTGTGATCACGTCAACATTTGCAACCACTTTGCGCGCGGGCAAATTCTTCGATTTAATCAAACTTTATGTAAGCACACGTCAACTCGTCACGACAAGATGTCAAAGATAATAATCTCGCAATGTAATAAGGAACGAGTCGGCAAACTGCCGACTACATCGCATGTCTGCTTTATTAAATCAAGTTGTAATTAAACGAGATAACAGTTGAAGTCAACCTAAAATTCACTGCTAATTTTTGAGTTGAAAAGCGTTCATGTGATATCGAGGCATGACGAGAATGTGGGCACTGCTGATGGGAGATACCCGTTTGAAACGTCATAATGACGTCAAAGAGCTAATGTAAGAACTTACATAGAGTTTCTTTCGCTCTCCTGGTCGTTTATTTGACCCTTTAACCCTGCTAATCCTCAGTTTACCTTCCTTATTCCTTTTTGTCCCTATGTATCACTCTATGCTTAGTTTGACACAGCGCTGAACGCTGAAGTATTACCATACTTTAGAGTCGGTCGGTACACGTGACCTCGAATGATAATGGTCTTAATGTTGAGTACTCATGAACACTCTGAAAGTTGAGTCACGAATGGTGCACTTGCTTTATTTAGTAAGTGTGTAGTTTTATTACATGCACCGCCTAGAGGTATGATTGATTCTGCAGTATTTGCCAGTGGATGAACACACCTGGTCTAGCATGAATCTCTGCCTGCCTGCATGATAACACAACGTGATTCGTGTTTAAACCTATTATAGGTGCTGCATTGCTAAATAATCAGTTTCTAGTTTCCATGCCATTTCCACCCATTCGAAAGTAGACCACAATGCAATGGACTAAGTTCAAGCGGTTTTCAAAGGCGACTAAGATTTCGTCAATATTTGTAACCTTAGCTACATCTCGTTAGCTTTTCTTGATCTTTCTCAGTCTCCTTTAGGCTTCCTTATCTATCATTGCGATAAACTTGCTTTCTATTTTGAACTTACCACCGTTTAAGCTAAACGGGCTTGATACAACCGGCCCCTGACTATTGTCTATTACAAATCCTACATTCTGATTGGCTACTCAACCATTGTCTATTCGTAATGGTGAACGTTTAGGAAAAATTCGCTCGCGCGACCGTATAAAATTGAATTTATCAAATTATTTTTCGCTGTAATCGCGGTGTATCGATTATTTTCTCGAAATTAATATATCTAGGTACAGGGTGTATAGTAAAACAATTAGACAACTCGCCTTCGTTGTCCATGAGCAAATAGTCAACTCAGGCTTCGCCTTCGTTGACTATTCGCTCATAGACATCTCGGACTCGTTGTCTAATTGTTAAATAGTGCCAAAAACTACTAGGAATACAGTGCGGAATGCCAAGCAAGGAGCTGACGTTATATAACTTGTATTGTATTAATAAGCATTAGCCATTACGGTATGATTACAAAGGTGATTATTGAAATTCTGACCTATATTAAAACTACATTGTAGAACGGTGCTCAATTTCGCATAAAACGTTTTAATAAGTCGAGATTTCGAGATACTTCCAGAAGATTGTCGAGATATTTGTTCACGTTTGACAATTTGAAATCGAATTATCACCTTTACAAAGCAGTTCAGTATTCGCGATTACTGAATAAAAAGTTGGACTTTTCTATAAATTATCACATGTGGTATCATATATCGTTCTACACGGTGTCCCAAAAAAACCCTTTAGTTTTTGAAATTCAAATTAAACTGTGCGTCCTCTGATACTCTAGAGCAACAAATACACGTCGCTCTGTCGTTCAGGGAACCATTTAGTCATTTTGCAATTGAACGAAGCTGTTCACAATTTGCACAACACTGCATATTTCTGTGAGTTTTTCGATCATGTCCCTTAGTGAAAAATCTTTGTTTCACAGCGCGCTAATTATTCCGAAGCAATTATACTTGTAAGACTAATTCAACGAAATATGGCTTTTTTGAATTCAAAGACTAGCGACTAGTAGCGTTTTTTTTGGGACACCGGCGCTGTACATCGAGTGAGACTTCCTGTTCATTTCTTACTTTGAGCGCAGTAAAATAACATGCTTTTCCTGAACTAAAGCAAGTCTACCATTTGCATGGCAGACTAGATGGAAAGAGGATATATTGTCTGGAAAGTTCATTGAATTTAATAAATAGGAACAATGAATTTCACCAGTTTCAACAGATAAATGATCTACAAAGATCCGATCGTTTGAAACTGTATAACCAATTATGTCTTTCGAATCTTGGTCCCAACAAATACTTAAATAGCAATTGTTACCTTTACTTGGACGAAATTTTAAAGACGTCTTCCTATATCCGTCTTCTGAGTAGATGTAGATGTACACTTCACGTGATTTTTCAGTATAATTTATTGCTGCTATTATTATTTCATTATCGCGGGAAACAAACATACCCTCTATTGAATGATTTTTCAAATTGAGAGCAAATCTTTTCGTTTGACTGGTAGACCTCGCGGAAGATTCTTCATTTTGTGGTGGTGTTGAATGACTGGTAGATCTGGTGGAAGATTCTTCATTTTGTGGTGGTGTTGAATGACTGGTAGATCTGGTGGAAGATTCTTCATTTTGTGGTGGTGTTGAATGACTGGTAGATCTGGTGGACGATTCTTCATTTTGTGGTGGTGTTGAATGACTGGTAGATCTGGTGGAAGATTCTTCATTTTGTGGTGGTGTTGAATGACTGGTAGATCTGGTGGAAGATTCTTCATTTTGTGGTGGTGTTGAATGACTGGTAGATCTGGTGGAAGATTCTTCATTTTGTGGTGGTGTTGAATGACTGGTAGATCTGGTGGAAGATTCTTCATTTTGTGGTGGTGTTGAATGACTGGCAGATCTGGTGGAAGATTCTTCATTCTGTGGTGGTGTTGAATGACTGGTAGATCTGGTGGTAGATCTGGTGGAAGATTCTTCATTTTGTGGTGGTGTTGAATGACTGGCAGATCTGGTGGAAGATTCTTCATTCTGTGGCGGTGTTGAATGACTGGTAGATCTGGTGGAAGATTCTTCATTTGTGGTGGTGTTGAATGACTGGCAGATCTGGTGGAAGATTCTTCATTTGTGGTGGTGTTGAATGACTGGTAGATCTGGTGGAAGATTCTTCATTATGTGGTGGTGTTGAATGACTGGCAGATCTGGTGGAAGATTCTTCATTCTGTGGTGGTGTTGAATGACTGGTAGATCTGGTGGAAGATTCTTCATTTGTGGTGGTGTTGAATGACTGGTAGATCTGGTGGAAGATTCTTCATTTTGTGGTGGTGTTGAATGACTGGTAGATCTGGTGGAAGATTCTTCATTTTGTGGTGGTGTTGAATGACTGGCAGATCTGGTGGAAGATTCTTCATTCTGTGGTGGTGTTGAATGACTGGTAGATCTGGTGGAAGATTCTTCATTTTGTGGTGGTGTTGAATGACTGGTAGATCTGGTGGAAGATTCTTCATTCTGTGGTGGTGGTGAATGACTGGCAGATCTGGTGGAAGATTCATCATTTTGTGGTGGTGTTGAATGACTGGTAGATCTGGTGGAAGATTCTTCATTCTGTGGTGGTGTTGAATGACTGGCAGATCTGGTGGAAGATTCTTCATTCTGTGGTGGTGTTGAATGACTGGCAGATCTGGTGGAAGATTCTTCATTCTGTGGTGGTGTTGAATGACTGGTAGATCTGGTGGAAGATTCATCATTTTGTGGTGGTGTTGAATGACTGGCAGAAGATTCTTCATTCTGTGGTGGTGTTGAATGACTGGTAGATCTGGTGGAAGATTCTTCATTTTGTGGTGGTGTTGAATGACTGGTAGATCTGGTGGAAGATTCTTCACTCTGTGGTTGGGTAGAATGAGTTGTTGACCTTGCAGTGTATCCGACATTCTGTAACATGATTGAATGGCTCCTAGCTAAGGTAGTATATTCTTCATTGTGCAGTGGGTGGTCTTCACTCGTTTTGTATAAATACACTATGTTCTCTCCAAAGTCATTCTCACAACATATGACAATCTTCTTCTCTTTGGTCACAGCAAGATAACACAGAACACGACCTTTAAGGAATGTCAGTCTGCGATGATAACTAAGGATTCCATCTTTTGTGTAAACTGATAGTTTATAACAACTATCATGCCTGGACAGGAGATACACTTGGTCATCATCATCAACAGCGACAGAACAGTATTCAATATCTTTAGATGTTACATCAATGGAAGATGAAAACTGCTGCAATTCACCAGAGGTTGAGTTAAGTTTCCCAAGAACATGTTTTTCATCTTTGTTGGTTAAAATGCAAACAAGATTCCCTTTGCTGTCAAAAGAGCAATTTAGACTTGGATTTGGAATTTCCTTATCATTAAGTTTGTTACTCTGCCAAAGGCTTGGGTGATCTTCTTTCTTATCCTTCAGATTATAATATAACTTTGTTTCCTGGTAAAGAATTGGGTTAATAGCCAGTGTATCACATCCCACCATAGGCCAATCTAAAACACCAATTCTTTTTTCTGAAAACTTTGAGATAAAATAAAAAATGATGGAATGGATGTCAACTATACTTTCAATTATTTTATTTCTTGATTCCTTAAGAAACCTTGATCTCCATCCCCCATTTGCATGTGCTAAGAATGTTTTATGTATTGCTGGTATATCATGCAGTTCTTCAAGATTCCCCCAGCAGTCAATGACCGCTTGTTCTCGGTCATCTAAGTTTCCAAGTATTGTACATGCAAGAAGCACATAACTTGCAATAATATGTTCTTCTGGTTCCAAATCTCTGTTACATAATGCCTTCAGAGCTTCAACAGCAGCCTGTTTGAAAGATTCTATTGCTTCCTTCTTTCGTTTTAAATATAAATCATATTTATGTCCCTTTTGATAATCATCTTTATTTCCCTCATGGTGTACCAGCACTTCTTTTACAGTTTCTGATGCTGCATGTGATATTTTAACAACATTAACCTGGGATGAGCTTTTCCTAGCACTGTAGAAAATATCTCCACCTATGTAAATGTAAGAGAAGGTATTGCATTTCAAGGTGGTTCTCTACAGTTTATCAAAATGTTTTTAACAGGGAAATTCAACATATAAATGTTAGGTTAGAAGGATAAAATTTTATATATCTTTCATACAACATATCTAAAACCTGTTAAAAAATTTGTGCTTGGCAAACAATGCCAGAAGCAACAGACATGTTTCAAAATGGCCACCAAGTAGAGTTGAGTTTATATTGCAAAATTGTGGTCACTAAACTTGTTTGCAATACAAGTACCTATGTAAACAAACACAAGTATGTATGTAAACAAGCAGTTTGTTTGAACTTCTATACTTTTTAAAATACAATAGCTGTGTTAACATTTAATACTGTATTTAGGTTAGCTACATTCTAAATGAATGTATATTAGAGTTTATGTGCAGAAAAATTGTAAACATGCAAAATTTGGGCAAATTTTTATAAGGAGGGCCCTCCATCATTATGAGGAGAACTGATGCGATGCAGAATGGGTCCATGCACTTGACTTCCACTTTAAACTCTATTTAAATTCTGAAACTTCACTGCATGTTGCTTTTAGCAATAGGTAGTAACCAGGGTCTATAGATACCTTGCTTTAAGGTACATTAAATTTTAGTCTAATTCTAGCTGAACATTTAGACACTTAATATTCTTGTTTAAATGTGCATTTAACAATTTCAAGAAACTATAGGGAGCCACCTTAACTACTTTCCAAAAAGCAAGTTTTTATCAAGGTAAGGTGACTATAATAAGCTGTGGGCTTCACCCCCCAGTTTTGCTCAACTTAATTACTTCTGATAATAGACCTTTCTTATAATGACTCAAACATGGAAAGTCTAATGTTACACAAAATTTGATTGGTTTCACAAAATTATCAAGCCAATCAAACTTGCTGTAACATCAGAATAATTTTTGCACCAATATCGCTATATGATTTCTTTAGACCTGTTTTAGGTCAAACTTTTCATACTGCCAAATCTAATGCAAATGAACTTAAACAAAGACTTTTGCTCATTAACATTAGATTTGGCATATGAAAAGTTTGACAACTGAAACAGGCGTCATGCTACACCCCTGATAAAGTTCTAGCTCATGATTTGTATACCAAATGGCAGCACATTACTATAATAATGTGAAAGTGCCTCACGTACATCTATAAATCACAGGTAGTACCTAGTCTATGTGGCGGTATTGCATGTGTGATTATCTTTTAAGGTTTTTTTTAAAGGGACCCAAGGGATCACAACTTCACTATGGTAGAATACAATAAAATGACTTTCGCACATTCAACAATATTTTGGACTGATACTTTTTTGTACATATTTACGTAAGTGTTAATTTAAGTGCACATTATGTACTTGTGCAGTTAAAATCTGAGCTGCTCTCTGAACTTGACATATAAAATTAGATAATTTATAAAAATTGTGCTTCAAGGCTCTCATATTTGTACCTACTTGGCTTGCCTATAAGTGTTTTTTTTAAACTTACCAAGAACAAGGTTGAGACGTCTAATACCTTGTTTCAAATGGGTTATACTTATGCGAAGTTCCTGATGCGAAATTTCGAAAAGTTTAGCCAGCATCTTATCGAGAGGGCTTGCAAACATTGCTCCGATTTTCCTGTCGGCCAGATCACCATTTCTCAGTTTCGCCGCAACGTAGCTGCGTACTGTTACGATCAAGAAACCGAATACGAAGTTCGCTACACTTTTATAGATGACAGGATCCATCGCATATGCTACTATTATGCCACTAGTGGAGCGCCATTGCAAAGTAGTGATACTATTCAGTTAGAATATAGACATAAACATAGAATACCATTAGAAGACAACTCATTTTTTGCGTGACTTTACTAAATCTTACTGACGTCACTGCATTTTACGGCAGTTGCAGTCAGTGCAGTGAAATAAATATAACTGGAACGCTACCTTCTGACAGGAAGTTGAAGCTAAGTCACCTCCAGTCTTTACACGCAAAAACAAACACGGCCAAAACAAAATGTTTTTTTGTGATTTCGTAAATTTGATAAAAACTCCCCGAAAAATTTTTTAGGGAGTTAAATTTCTTTAGGGAGTTTTAGCTTTAGGATATCCGTTTCGTACAAATATTGTTGTCAAAATTGCACATCGCTATAAACTTGTTCCGTTTAAGAAAATTTGTTTCCAATCTGATCGGCAACTCCAGTTGTAATTCGTAAAACAGTTCACCTGGTTGAATTTAAGAGTAATTCCACTATAATTCCATAAAAAAAAACATTTAAAACCATGAAACAAACAAAAAATCAAAATTCTTTCAAATTCGCTCTGCATCTGCAGTGTCTCGCGAGTCACGCGCGAATGAAGCCAAAAATTCCAGTTATTTATTATAGTTCACTGAGTCAGTGGTTGCAGTTTGTGTTTCCACTCGCTGCAACCCAAATTTTATTTCCTTTTCCTGTTTTTCTTTCATATTTCCTTCCACAAAATTTCCTTCCAAATTTCCTGGCAGTTGAGTATTTTCCTCCCATAAATATCTGCATTTGTAGCGCTTTTATAACTCCGAACAACTCGGGTAAGTGACATAAACTGATAATTTTCAGACTTAAATGCTTTGGCCATTTTTTATGTTAATGTCAATATGTTTTTAAATTTTAATGTCAAATGTGGTATAAAAACTGCCTAAAATAGACAAAACACTTCTCGACGTCTCGACCTGAGGGCCTTCGTCAGGAGAAAAGTTCCGGCTGACCTGACGAAGGCCATCAGGTCGAAACGTCGAGAAGTGTTTTGTCATTTTTAGGCAGTTGTTATACCACATTTGATGCTAAGTTGTTCGAAGACGCTGCCACGCTGCTCCCTGTTTCTATTCAAACTGTTTTTAATATTGTCTCACAATAAATCAGAACATAGAACAAAGTTTTCAATAAAGTAATTTCTCAAATTCCAATACATTTTTAGTAAGAGAACTAGCCTAGTGCTCCTATTGAAAAAAATATTTAGAAATTGCTTTTTCAAGTACAATATTAAATTGTATTTTTTGGTAACGCAGCACGGACTACACTACAGAGTCTTTGACAGCATCATTTGCTTTCATGTCGTTACTCGTTAATTTGTTAATATGGTTAATATGTAGGTTTAACGTATAAATTATAATAAATGCAGTATGAATATGTCAGCAAAGCCACATTTGGCCTTCTCCAATCTCTTCAACCATTGAAATCAAAAACAATTTGAGTGATTTTGTATTAAAAATTATTTAAAATCTCGAAATAAAAAACAAAATTATCGAAAATTTAATATTTCCTTGCATTTTCCTGATATTTTAATATTTCCTTTTGCCAGAAAATTTCCTGGCAAGTGGAAGCGCTGACTGGCGTATAAACAACATAGAAAATTAGAAATAGTGACAAAGAATTCCGACAATTCCCTTAATATCTTAATGTCTATTATTTCTATGCGTAACAACCTGGAAAACTACACTATTTCATTATTCTATATTTCTATTTCATATATTTCCGAATGATCTGAGCCATTAAGCCAATCAGCGCATAGCTAGCCTCCTCCGCCTCTCTAAAATGATTTCGTGCCAAGAGGAAACTTGCATGTTAGCGAAGCATCATGGGAAAAGTGGCCGTCGAGGAGCCAGCATTTGGCAATGCATTTGGCCACGTGATTTGGCGCGCAAGTCAAGGCAACCCAGTGAACTCAAATAAAACTGGAATGCTCACTCTATGACTTTCCCTCATTGATGAGTGAAGCCAAGATGGCGGATCATGAAGCCTTTCTTGTAGGTATGATCCAGGCCTCTGGCGCGGAAACTTCAAAGGAAAAATCAGAATTCCCGACAAAATTTCCGCGTGGAGGCCTGGATCATACCTACAAGAAAGGCTTCATGATCCGCCATCTTGGCTTCAAACTTCCGGCAGAGTGAGCGTTCCAGTTTTATTTCAGTTCACTGAGGCAACCTCGTGCCCAGGGTCTTCTGTGTTCATGGCGAGCAGTGTTGCCAAGTTCGGGATTTTATCCCGAGATCTCCGGATTTTTTGAAGCATTTGGGATTTTTTTGGGATTTATTTCTCAAATGGTAATCTCGGGATTTTTTTAGGGATTTTTGGGAAAGGGAAGTTTGGAATTTGGGAAAAGATGTTTTCGTTAAATTGACAGAAAAACATATTAAAAATCCAAGGTTCGTCCGCTTGTACTTAAAATACTTACTCAAAGTCACTCAATAAAGACTATTTGTACAATCGGTTATGCAGAGAAGTACCGCTTTATAAACGCACACTGAGCGGACTGGGTACTAGGGTGCGCCACGGCTGAGGACTGGGGTCGAAATTAGAATCTCGGGATTTTAGGGGAAATCTCGGGATATTTCAGGCGCTTACTTGGGATTTTTACAAAATTATAGTTGGCAACACTGATGGCGAGGGGAACGGCCCATTGAGCTATATTAGATAATATATTAGATAGGTTTACTGGTTTAGCCACTGAGCTATAATTAGCAAACACGACGCGACGTCAAAGAGGACGTCATTTTTCAAATTCCTGGGACCGGCTCCCGGCCAAAGAATCAAAGATAGAAAAAATCGGAATACTTTTATAATAAAATATTAAATAACAAAGATACAAACATGCTTGTACATGTAATGTTTACTACAAGGTAAATAACAATGTTAATATAAATAGGTTGAACTCCATATTTGCTTAATAAACACAATTATTGAACATAACAGTATTGAATATATATTAAACCAAGTATTAAAATATAAATAGAAAAGCCCTTATAGACATATATTATTGTAAATAGGACATGAAATTTGACCACTTTCATAGTTTCATAGCAGCCTTGCCAGGAATGACAGAATTTTATATTGGTAAATTTTCTCTCTTGTGATTGATGTACTTGTGATTGATTGAGAGTCAAATATGAAAATTAACGCCTTCAAATATAAAGGGCCTAGTTTCATGTCGAGTTGAAAGTATACATACAGCTAATTTAATGAAGGTTGTCCTCTACTCCTGTTAAGTGTGAAGGTTGAAACTCAAAACTGCAAAACGTTGTGGTAGGGGTAAGAGGTTTTAGCCAATCACCATCGAGATTTCATTAGTAATGCATAATAATTGATCTGATTGGTTGATTTTTAAGATGACATAATATTAGTGCGGTTGCTATGGAAATTACTGATGAAAGCCGAATAGCACTATCCACCGGAGAGCGATTTTTTTAAATTTCAACCGTTCTAAAAATGCTTGAAAGGCGATAAAATTTCATATTTGGAACAGGCAATTATTGAAGAACATCCTCGATTTAGGAATACTAAGATTTAATCAAAATTATAGCAAACAACCGGCCCCAGGTGGTTCGCACTGACCGATAATTGCGGGCTTATTTCTTCTTCAATTTGCATGCGCATCGAGGAATTAAAAATACAGACTTTGATGCAATATTTTTGCTATTTACTCTAAAGCATGTTCATTAAAAATTCGCTGCTGTTGTTGAGAAAGAAAAGCGGTTTACGATAAACTAAGGGAGCGGTCATAAAGTAACTGCTAGGGTGGGCCGGAGGGAAAAATCTGTTTTCCTAAAAAAATTCGGTGGCCCATCCTGAAAATCTAGAAAAGATCTAAAAGCCCATCATAAGTCATTGGAAAAGTTTCATGACCCATCCTGCTATATATGTTAATGTACAGCGTGTCTATCACTTTGATCAAACCAACCATGCAGCGTCGCTTATAGTATGTATTGAGTGCAAACAGGCTGTATTTTGTTTCATGGCCCATCCATTTTCACAAAAAGTAATTGATGGCCCACCCAAACTAATGAAAATAATTTCATGGCCCATCTTTATTTCCTCCGGCCCACCCTAGCAGTTACTTTATGACCGCTCCCTAAAATGCGCCGAAATCCGTTACGAAATGGAATGTATTTTCGCTGGCGAAAAATTAAATAATTGCATCTCCACACCAAGCTATTTTTAGCTGATTTTTACCACAGCTACAGAGCTAGTTGGATTTAAGCTGATGTTAGTTCTTCATGTATTAAAGTGTCAGTAAAATGTCTCAGAAGTGGTTCCAAAACTCAATCTTGCGGATGACACAGTTGTCAATTATATACCTCTATTAACGAATTTTATTGCAAATCCACCCATCTTCATTGAAGTATAGCTCGAAAATTAGGGTATCCTCACACCCTGAAATTAGGCTTAAATCAAAGTTTTATCTATAGTCTTTTTATTAGAATTAAGATTCAATATGGGAAAAATGCGCCAAAGCCCAAAGGGGTAAAATTGGCATTGTATGTGTCCACTATTTTTGACATGTTTTGTTTGGTATTTTGAAAAGGTCACCTGGAAGGAAAATAAAGCTTGATCAATACTGGCGAGCCTTTAAATTATAAGAAGAGGTATGTAAATTATAGAATTTTGAAAAAAACCCGTTCCATTAGCAATGTTTTGGATTCTATGAGGTCTCACATATAGCATATTTAAATTATTGTTGCATTCATATAGAGGATCCATTCATAACTCAATAGATCAAGAATTTGACTATCCTCACACTTTGTAACTAAATTTTTCTGTTGGATTTTTCACCTGCCTTTGTGAAAAAAACAGTTTTAGGACCACGAAAAATGCGCGCAATACTTTTTAGGAGCAATGAAAAGGATGAAATTAGGAAAAGTTAAATGTTCTTTCCACTCGTCAGGGCATAATTTAACTTATTCTAGTTTGTTTACTAAAATTTTGGTCTAAAATATGCCTGTAGTATCTGAGCATTTTGTAGAACTCATTTTTTTGGTCTAGATCTAACTTGTGCTCTTTTGCTTTTTTCAGCTGATGGTATCTGCTCATATCATTGTT